GGCCTTAACTAGAACTGTGCCTGTGGTCTTCCATTTCCTCACTATGTTCCTCACAGTGGAATCTGACAGCTGAAATCTCTGAGCTAGCTTTTTGTATCCTTCCCCTAAACCATGATGTTGAACAATCTTTGTTTTCAGGTCATTTGACAGTTGTTTTGAGGCTCCCATGTTGCCAGTCTTCAGAGAAGATGCAAAGGGGAGAACAACTTGCAACTGGCCACCTTAAATACCCTTTCTCATGATTGGCTTCACCTGTGTATGTAGGTCAAGGGTCATTGAGCTTACCAAACAAATTTTGTGTTCCAATAATTGCTAAAGGTATTCAAATCAATAAAACAACAAGGGTGCCCAAATTTATGTACCTGCCTACTTTTATTTAAGTAATTATTGCACACTTTCTGTAAATCCTATAAACTTCATTTCACTTCTTAAATATCACTGTAAATCTTGAAAATGATCAGGGGTGCCCAAACTTTTTCATACCACTGTATCTATCTATGCTTAAATATATGTTCATATATATGTAGATATTTATATACATATATTTATGCCCATATATATGAACATATGTACATAAATATATGTGCATATACAGTATATGTACTTATATGTACATATATACATAAGTTGCTTGAGTAATAAACTGAGAAACAAAGTTATAGAAAAGGCAAGCTTTCCTTTATTATTCGGTCATCATCATTTCGGTCATCGTCTGGTTTGTTTCATCGTGTGAGATTTAATTTCTCTGGACCGCTGAGCTTTGACTTTACGTCTGACCCCACCGAGAGCCCGTATTAACAGAAATCAATTTGAACCTCTCAGAACAAATCACATCTTTTTACCAGAAACCAATGGCAGGTTATTGACCAATCAATCACCGGACAGATGCTTTGTGTCCTGCAGACATTCTTTTCTAGTTTTGATTGACGTGCCCTGGTTACCATAGCGATATGTGGCAAATGAATTGATCAACATGTCAACCAAAAGAACTTGAAAAGACAGAGAGAGACGCCGAACAAGGAGAACACGTCCATTAACAGACGCAGGCTTAAAAAAAAAAGACCTTTGTTTCTAAGGTGGAACTGCAGAAGAACGTGATGTTCTGTCACTTCTCACCATCTACGTGTTGTCAGCTTTCAGTGCTTCACTTTGATCCACAGAAGAAAGCCGCTTCCAAAAGAAAAAAATCACTTCATGTCAGAATGTAAGCAACCTGGTGGCCGCTTCCTCCTTTGAAGCCACCGCTTGTAAAACGGTTACAACGGAGACATTTGTCCTGCGCCAACCTGACCGCCACTGTGGTTGATTTTAATGTGTTTGTTCAGTTTAAACTCAATTACCACACCAGTTGTTTTTTTGTTTTGTTTTTCCCTCCACCTTATCTCCCAGTGGAGGTTTGGCTTAGTACACAGTGACACACACTCTGCTCGCAGGATGCTGAGCAGCTTCACTGGAGCAGAAGGGATTAAAGGCAGAGGCCGTTGAGTAATTTTGTTTTTGGAATTCTACTCAGAGAGGCGGTTACAGTTATGGCTCCTCGTGCAACGGAGCAGAGAACCCCGTGTTTTTTCCTTCGTTCACAGAGGTCCGCTATCAATCAACTTGTACCAAATCACATTTGCTGATGACATCGTTTTAAACAAAAATGAACAGTAATGTCAAGACAGTTCCATAGTGTAGCCTCAGAAGCAGAGAGTCCTGACAGGCTCAGCCTGTTGGAGCAGAGCTGCTGTTAACACAAGAATTTCCCAAATATGGGATCAATAAAGTTCAAATTATTTTGATTAAGTCACATATCTTGTTGTTTTTTGGCATTTGGAGTCCGTAAGTGATTTATTGGCAAAGTGCACTCCACCGCACACAACCAAATGTGACCTCTTCCTTTAACCCGTCATCTTGCTGAATACTCTGGGGATGGTGCCATCCTCAGAATAGAATAGTCTTTATTGTCATTATACTGGGCGGTACAACAGTATGTCACCACCCCTTCAGTGGAATCTGATGGCTGGTGGATTTGAACTTGCGACCTTCCGGACACAAACCTGCTTCTTTAACCATTGCCCCCAGCAATCTGCAATCTGAACATTTTCTGTGCCCACTGGTCCACATTAGATGACTTTGGACCATAGAAAACAAGATGACGTTTTGAACTTAGTCGCTGTTTTACCTCAGGGTCTCAGGGTTGCCTTTGAGCAAGATGGTTTTCAGTTCGTAACAGAACCGATCCTACAGTTGGTCTTTGACCCCTGATTTTAAACTCCCTCCAAACTATGGACATCATTGACCTTTTTTAATAAAACACATCATGAGGACAACGACACCGTGAGAGGGAAACAGAAAAGACTGGTTGATTGGTACTTATAAAGCTGTCCTGGGGTATCCATGTGTAGGATCGATACACGTTTCGGAGTATTAGGTTGAGTAATTAAATAAGGTACAATAACGAAAGCATTCACAGATTGTTCCGTTTGCTAATTTGGTTTAGTAGCTGATATGTTGGGTTTTTGTCTGTCACAACAACAACAAAGATTAATTAAACATTTTGTGGGAAAACAAAGATTGTTTGTGTCAAACTAAAACAAACAAAAACAATAAATTCCACTGTTTTGTTTACATCATTGACACGTTCTCTCTCTCTGTGTTCTGTTTTTTTTTTCTAGCATAACTATCTTTGGTACTGGGGCCAAGTGGCTGGCTGTGCTGCAGGAGAGGAACCTGAAACCCAGTGAGTTGTGGTCCAAAAACGACAATCCTCTGCACACCTTTGTGAACAGGAACACAGACATCCACAGACACACATGGATGCACACAAATAATGAGCTGGGAACCTAAAGAGAGAAACACACACACGCACACACCTGAGAATGGAACCTTAGAACAGATGGACACGATAATGATTATTTAAGCGATGCTGTCGGACTCCCGGCCCGTCCTTTGTGTCGTTTGCTGTGTGTGAACCAACAGTTGTTTGACCCTGGATCAAATGGATTAAAAAAAAAAAAAGTGCTTCAGGATCGTTTGTATGAGTCATGGAGAGGAACCTCTAATAGCTTTTAGTGTCATAGCCCTCCGGAGGGCGAGCCAGGTCTCTGCACACAATCAGAGCTGTGCCAGTGGCTTATTAGCCTCGCCGCTAACCTTCAGACATGACATTTTGTTTGTGCTCTCGCCACCCAACCCCCCCGCATCACAACAGTGAAATGGCACTTAATGGTTTTAAATGTACGGGTGAAACCGGCGAGCCTCGTTCTCGTAGGCCATTTGTCGGTGTTTTTTGTGAAAACGTACGCCTGCTTAACGATAACGCTTAGTGATCACCCTCTGAGGTAATGACATAGAAATGACGTTGCTGGACGTTGTTATTTCCGCCAGTCGAGTGTCCAGGTGTTTTCACTCAGCTCCTAAATAATGATTTGATTTAAATTCATCATTGTTTTAGTCTTAGCTGCTGATTCTTAACTCTGGCCACACAGTGGCAGAAGTGGCTAACGAGCTTGTCTTCCGGAAAGGTTTGTTGTTCTATTGTCCCCCATGGAGGTTTTGCGTGTCGCTTGCCCAGTCAAAATACATACTGCATCATGTCATGTCTCATGCATCATATCTATTCACACTGTAGGTGTGAATGTGAGTGTGAATGGGAGTGTTGACTGCTGCCATTGGCTCCAGCTCTGCTAAATAAATGATGCTACTTTAACCGTCAATCTGCCATGATGCCACTAGGGGGAGTAGGCGAACAGGCAGATGTGGTAAGAATACAAGTCCAAGTCTTTTTTTTCCTCACTCTTTGTTAAATGTACAGATTTGGTTGATTATCGCCCTCTGCTGGAAGAATTTATAATCGTTAGACTAGATTAAAGGTCCAGAGAAATGACTTGCAGGAAGTAAGAAGTATGAAAGTAGATATTTTTGGTAAATTTGTTGACCCCCCACCCCCCAAGAAAAACATGAATAAATGACATTCAGTCACACAGACAGACAAAGAGAGGTCCTCATAAAGGTGTCCTGTCTGTCTGTCTGTCTCTCTGATCCTCATCCTGTCGTTTGGACAATCAGTGGACTCAGTTGGACTCTGTCTGTTCTTTTGGATGCTTATTAGAGACCGATATAGCAGAGGGCGATCAATGTATTATCTAGTGATCTGTGTGTGTGTGCGCGTGTGTGTGTGCGTACGTGTGTGTGTCAAAGCATGCTTCTGGCAGGTTGGGAGGCCAGCAGAGGGAAGCTTCTTCACTGGTTGCCCCAGTGGAGTGGCCCTTTTCCCTGTGCTAACATTTGGACCAGGACTCTTGGAGGCATGGCATTTGGAAAATACTCAAGCATTTTACTTGAGTAAATGTTCTTAAAAGAACCCATTCAAAAAAAATTACAATAGAGTCATACGGAGGATATTTCTACTGTTTCCTGTCTTGACTTTTTTCCCATAATTCTTGTAGAACTCCCAGTTTGCCCAGCCCACTGAGGCAAATGTGTATGTTTTGTAAATTTTGCCTTTAGGAATAAAATTGACTTATATTTAAACTAAATCAGAGCAGGGCCAAGACAAGACACAAATTTGGACCCCGACCCACAGTTTGTTTCCATCTTGATTAGTCATAAATTCTTCTCCTTGCTCAGAGACGCTTCGGATCTATCTGTAGACTCCGAGATGTTACAGGTACTCAGATAAAGACCCCTTCCCTCCCCCCGGACTCCCGTCTGTCTTTTTCTGTATCTCAAAGATTGCTTTATACGTGTATATTTTATATATATTCCATGTAGCTGTTTGGAGTATATTTAGACCAATCTTGTGAATGCTTGGCTTCCCTTTGGAAACAGCAGGGGGCGAAGGGGTGGTGACAGGGCTTTGCTTGTTGAACACGATCAGGTCGTAATTATAGCTCAATTTAGTCAGTTCATTTTTAAATCCCCCTTCTTGAACCACAACCTTATCGTGGTGGAGGGGTTTGAGTATCCGAATGAACCTAGGAGCTATGTTGTCGGGGGCTTAATACCCCTGGTAGGGTCTCCCAAGGCAAAAAGGTCCTAGGCGACGGATCAGAAAAATAGCGGGTTAAATCCCACTTGATG